GTGTTTTGGCGCTCGAGCGGGCCTTCTTGCGCTCGAGCGTGCCTAGATTTTTGTTCTTGACGCTCGAGCGTTGTGTTCTCCGTTCGAGTGGGAATGTTGTATATCAGTTGGCAGCTGGGCATTTTAAAATCACTTTTTACATTTTCTCTCTCTCTCTCACTTTCTAAAAAGCCATTTGAGAGCTCCTCTCTCTAAAACCATAACTTCTCTCTAAGTATTGATCTAGTTAGGGTGTTTTCCTCACCTTTGGTTTTCACAAAAGTTGGGTTGATCGTCGAGGGCTATCTTTTGATCCGAGAAACTCGTGGTTTGGAGCAACTTCGTTTTACCATCTTCTTCGTTGGGTGTCATCTTTTGAGGTAGGGATTCCTACTCACTCTTATGGGTTTTAACCTAGATTTTGAGCTTATTGTTTAATGTTTAAATGGTTGATTTTGGGACTTAGGGTTTCAAAATGTGTTAAAGAGGGTTTTGTGATTTTGGGCTCATAATATGTATTTTGGGTTACAAAATGATGATATAGTTGTTGGTTGGTGATATTTGAACCTTCGAGTTGATATTGAGAGTTGGGGGTAAAACCCTAATTTGTTGTTTAAAATTAATTGGTATAATTAATTTGGGAAAATTGTAGCTATATGGAATTGAGTTGGAAATAATGAAATTGACTCATTATATGTTTGAATAGTGGAGTTAGATTTATTAATCACTCACTTTTGAACACATTGATATTTTATCTGTTGGAGCTTTTATTATCTGTTTAGAAATAATTGCTTAGGCTACCGGTGGAGGGTAGTTTTGATTGTTGTAGACAGTGCATGATGATTAGGCAAACTAAAACTAATCAATTGGATATGTCATAAAGTATGACGGTTGGTAGAATACATTAACGTTATGTATTGATTGATTGTGTATATGACCTATGTCTATATACATTGTGTGTGTGGGAGGAGATAGGGGATGTACTCCACGATTTAGGGGAAGATAGGGGATGGACCTTTAAACCGGATGTTGTTTGGGAGGAGATAAGGGATGGACTCCACTGATACAGCTCATATGCTTATCTTTGGAAGTGTTGATACAGCTCATATGCTTGTCATTGGAAGTGTTGATATAGCTAAAATGCATATCTGTTGAAATGTGGATACAGCTTGTATGCTTATCTGTTGGGATGTTGATACAACTAGTATGTTTATCTATTGTAAAAATGGGAAATGTTTGATATGAGTCATTGTCTCATATAAGTGGTTGGCCAGGTTCTGAGCCGTTGATGTAAATTGTGAAATTGATAAGAAATGGAAATAGGTTATGAATTGGTTTATGGAAACTGAACGTTTATCAATTGCTAATATCTTAGTCATTGCTCATACTGTGTTTAGCATATCTCTACTAGGCGTTGGCTCACCCTTTATGGGACATTATTTTCAGGTACAGGCAGTATGCCACCTCCAAGGACATAGCTTGGATGATGATGAGAGTTGAAGACTCTTTTTGTTTATTTTGATGTATTACATGTAAATTCAAGCCAAGGGCTTAATATGTATTGAGTTAGTACTTTTCTTTTTGTAACCAAGTGTTAACTTGGAAAGCTGTAAGCCTATAAGGTATTTGCTTTTGTTGTTAACATGTAATACAGCTGTAAGAATTACTCTGATGAATAGAAATGGTTGAATTCTTTTGTATCAATGTATGTCTAAAAAGTTGGGTTTTATGTATTATTTTGAGGGCATTACAGTTACAATACTAAACCTATAGGAGCGGGTTAGGGTTGTGACACATAGTGACTAGACTAAGATTCATATGGTGTTAGAGAGTGATAGATCCAATCTAGTGGAAGCTTCGTCGTTGCATACATATCATACTGTATGTGCTACCATTGACCACTTAAGAAAGTGGCCAGATGGATCCCTGCTCTAGCACTGTCCGAGCCCTGTTACACCAATAATAAGCCTACACTATGCCCTTGAACTTGGAACTATGTCATGAAGTGATGACTTGATGTCGTTACTTTAGCATGTCATTTAAGGGTCACAATGAATATGACCTAGAGGACCATGTCTAGGAAAGGAGTCAAGTTTGAGTAAATTGACATGAGTGGCCAGGGAAGATTGTTGGAAAGCATACCCTTGTATTGTAGCTCATTGCCTAAGCGATTGTGTCGGATTTGAGATCATGATATAATCATGAGTATAGATATAGCGTTGAGGTCAATCATGTTTATGAGCTATGACTTGCAAGGGGTTTTAGAATATTTGATCTGGTGTGATCCAATGAATGTGGGGTGTAGACAAGATATTTAGAGTGATGTGTTATGTTAGTTTATAGTGGCTTAATATAGCACTCTTACCTTTATACCTTCTTGTCAAGTCACACGCCCTATTTTTTTCATATGAAGAGTGGATTGAATGAGAGATTGAGAAATGACTATTGTGAATGTAACCAATGATGTGGACGAGTGAGAGATGTTGGAAATGGGGTCGGATTTGACTCGACGCATAACTCATGGAGCGTCCACATGGGTTGTTGATTATTTACATGATTTATAAATAACATAATTAAGATAATATCTTTTAGGAGGTGTTTGAGTGGTTATATGAGACTACAACTCCACTTCTATCAGCAGAGAATGTTTATATATTTGATATAGAGAAAATAATATACGTATTTTTATTGGTATGAGAATTTACCCAAAAAATCTCTACAAAATATTTCTCTCTCTGTTCTTCCCTCCTAGGTCACCATTGTAGAACCTAGGGATTCGGAGAATGAATATAATATTAAGAAACTCTAGTAAACGAGACTCGTAATTCAAGTATCTAATCTAAACCATTTTCGTTTCAAGTAATATGATTTCCCACATCTTTTCCTTCATAATTCAAACATATAGTTACCAAAAGCTAATCAACTTATTTTTTACATGAATATTTTTCTCAACTAGTATTAAAAAATGAACAATTTAAATCATCGAGATTGAGCTGACAATAAGCCCACTAAAAGCTTGTTTGGCATGATCTACTATAACACACTTTTTATTTTTTTATTTTTAAAAATTTATATCTCTACTTTTTTTACATCATTTTATAAAAAATTTAAAAATATACCTATTTATATCATTCCACACCTCCTTTAAATCTAAATGAGAGAAGCCGAACAACTAGTCTTTCAAGACTATTAACACAACAGATGTGCTACAAATCCCCACGACCCCTACGCATTTGTGAGAGAGAAGGAGGGGAGAGAGAAAAAAAAAAAAAAAAAAAAAAAAAAAAAAACAAAAATAATGAGTGATCACCAATCAATTGAGAGTCATAAGGGTCACAAAATTTGGAATCTCAACCATTTTTTATTAACACAACTAGGGGTGTGCGCAGTGTGATTCTGGCAGTTTGAAAGTAAAATTACAAATCAAATAGCAGGTTAGCAGATTAGCGGATTCACAAATTGCAGTTTGGACAGTTTTTAGCAAATTGGAGAATTGAAGAATATTTTACTCCATCCGTTCCAAAATATTAGTTCCTTATTTCATATTTCATTGTCCCAAAATATTAGTCCATTTTAAAAAATGAAGTACAAAAATAATATAATTTTTTTATTTTGCCCTTATCTTAAATTCATTAACAACATAAAAAGTACAATTATGACATTGATATTTCCCAAAAAATATATACTACTAAAGGGTAATTTTGAAAAATCATTTTTTTAAAAGTACAATAAGGGTGTGTTTGACTAGGGGGATTAGGGGGGGATTATTCACTGCTCGAATTGCTTATCTGAAGGAGGGAGATATCTATCATTTGTTTTTTTTTTTTTTTTTTTTTTAGATATTTATTGTTTTTCATCAACATGTTTATTAAATTATTTCAACATTTGTACATCAACATGTTTATTAAATTATTTCAACATTTGTACATCAACATGTTTATTAAATTATTTCAACATTTGTACATCAACATGTATATTTATTTAACATCTATTAAATTATGTTTTAATACGTCAACATTTGATTACATCTACATTTGTTAATTGTTAATTACATCAACATTTGTTAATTGTTTAAACATAATCTGTACATCAAAATAATTTCAATGTTAATTGTTTAAATAAAAATTTAAACATTTAACCATTAGTATGTTTAATTTCAACAATAAATTTTTATTTGTTTAAATAAAAATAATCTATACCAGTCAAATTTTTTTATCAATATTAGTATGTTTAAATATCTTTAAACAAAATTTAACCATTAGTATGTTTAATGTTTACTAAAAATAATTAAAATATTAAAGATATGTTTAATATTCTATTACTTAGTAAACAATTGAAAAATAGTAAAATAGTATTTTGTTTATTTATCTTATCTAGTCCGTCCAACCAAATATTAGATTCACTAAAAATAGTTATTTCCAGACATCTAATTCCATGATAAAATAAATACGGGATACACATCCAATCAAACCAAATAGTCCGGTGATTCACAGTCTCAGGATTCAAGTCCGACAGATTCTAATTCCCCTTATCAATCCGTCAAATCAAATACACCCTAATTGTACAAAAAAAAATTAGATTCTCCAAAAGGGACCATTATTTTGGGACGGAATGAGTAACTAATTATCATATATTTACGTAATATATAACACTAATTTGTTTAATATTTTTTAGATATATAGCACAAAATATTTTACATAATATGTTTAATATATATAACCACTAATTTGTAATAAATTTTATATCTTAAATTTCTTTCACACTCATTTTTACATTGATATTTCATTGAAAGTTAAAAAATATATATGTATGAATTATAGTATAATGGAGTAATTCGACTTACGGATTATAAATTTTAAAATTTAAATCGCAATTAGTGATTAAAACAATGTAAATTGATGCAGATCGCTGCGATCGGAAAGGATTGAACGATAATTTGTACGGCCCTAGAGCCAGCAACATGTTCAGTGGTCCCGCACGTGCAGTTGATGACCTGGCGAACACAAGGAATCGTTCTGTGATTGTCGTCTTACACTCTCTACGCTCCCTCTCTCTACCCTCTGCTTCTTGATCTCGCTCTACACCATAAAAAAAGAGAAGCTTGGAAGTACATAAATCCCACGCTTTTGTCTTTCCCTTTCTCTCTCTCACTCTCTCTAGGGTGCTCCGGATCTACTTTCCTTGTAAGCTGTCTCTCACTCTGGTTTCGATGACTTTACACATGAATCTACATTGTGCTGATACTGATACTGATACTGTTTTTGATCTGCTTTTTTTCGTAACTGAATCAAAATTGAATTACTTTGATTTTGTTGATTTTTTTTTAAAATTTTTTATTTTATTTAAGATCTAGGTGGTGTATTGCTATTGACTATTTGGGGAGAGTGATGTCGAAAGCCGGAGCCTTGGATCTCGCCACTGGCGTCGGCGGAAAGATCGAGAAAGACGACGTTCTCTCCGCTGTCCAGAAGTATTTTTATCTCTATCTCTCTACAAATTTTTTTTTTTTTTCTTGTTTTGGACTTGAATACTATGTTGTATCTACAAATTTGTGAGTCAATTGGATGGTTTTATTTAAAAAAAAAAAATTTGATCATCATATTGTAAAAACATATGATGTGAATTTGGTGAAAGTTACTGCATTGTTTTTTGTCTGTTTTTCACATTTAATGTAGGGGTTTGGTGGGTTACATCACATCATCAGTATTGATCTTGGAAAATGACTTTGTGTGGTCCCTAATGTGTGAACTACTTGATATTAGCTATGTTTGTATCTTAAATTTGTTGAGAGTAAGGAAAAGAGAGGTAAAATGATATTTCCTATTAATTGTTTTCGAGTAATCAATTAAAACAAGATTATTGGGAAAAAAAAAAAGAAAAAAAGAAAAAAAAGACTATTTTCCTTCTTATTTTTCAACCTAACCAAACAAAATAAAGAAATTTAGGCCCTGTTTGGTATGGTTTTCAATTGCAAATAAAAACAATGAAAAGTTCGAAAAACACAGAAATAGTTTTTGTAAAGAGTTTGTCAAACAAGCCTTCCATATCATTTTTTTCCTAGAACAGAAGACAAAAACGATGCCAAATGCGCAGTTTCTTTCATTTCCCTTTCCATTTTTGCTTTAACAAATCCAATAATCAATCAACCACTGTTAGGAGATTATATTTGTTGTGGAATCACAATATTAGATTTGTTAAACAAATGTACTTTGATCTGGGATACAGTGTTTGCATACTGGAAACAGTAGGGAAGGAAAATAAATCGGTATCTTTCAACCCTATACTCTCATTAGGGGTCTGAATGGTTGTGATTTTTATCTAATTTGTTTCTTCATTCTGATTTGCATTGGTTGTCTGGGTAGATATATAGAGGTGTCCGCCTTTTGTATCAATTGAAAACAAGATATTGGAAATTGTTCCAAAATTATTTATATACCCGAATAACAGAACTACTGTCTGGCTTGAGCACATTGATGTTGAACTACCACTTTATTCTACATGTAAAACGAATGTGTTGAGCACTTACGATAGAAAGAAAGATGCATGGTGCGTGTATAACCAGTATATTTCTGGCAAAAACACTCTCAAGAATTAGAAATCTAGAGATATTTTATCATTGATTAGGTGCCAATCATTTTTTTTTTTGGTAGGGCACAAATGTGACTATATGATATTATTTTCAGATTACTGTGTATATAATATGCATGCTGTGCTTGATATTTGGTGTATGTTTGAATCCTGTATAAAAGTATCTGTCTAATGGTTCAGGTATGAGCAGTATCACGGCTACTATGGAGGCGAAGAGAAAGAGAGAAAGGCCAACTACACTGACATGGTTATCATTCTTTACACACAATACATCTTTTTTACCTGCCAGCTGTATATTTGGCTCAGTTCCTGTTTAAAATATCAAATTTTGTAAATGCTGCTTCATTGGAAGTATGTGATAAGCTAGGAAAACCCATCATGTTAAGAACTCAATGTAGATACGCCTGCCATCATTTTTTCTTCGTTCCATGCATTCATGATTCTAATTCCCTGATATACTAGCTTATCAATCCCTTGGGGTGGAAATTGTTTTAGAAATCGCAATTAGTGATTAAAACAATGTAAATTGATGCAGATCGCTGCGATCGGAAAGGATTGAACGATAATTTGTACGGCCCTAGAGCCAGCAACATGTTCAGTGGTCCCGCACGTTCAGGTGAATAAATATTATGATCTTGTTACCAGCTTTTATGAATATGGCTGGGGAGAGTCGTTCCATTTTGCGCCCAGGTTAATATTTTTGCTCTTTACAGTGCTCCTTTTCCATCTTCATCACTTTTTTGTTTCATGTCTGTGAAATATTATATATATTTTGAGTTGATAATAAAAGACTAAACAATCATGATACCTCTGCCTGCAGATGGAAAGGGGAGTCTCTTAAAGAGAGCATTAAGCGACATGAGCACTTTCTTGCTTTACAGTTAGGCCTAAAAGCTGGACAGAAGGTCTTTCTTGATTTATTTTATTGTGCAGTAGAACGTCAAAATCATGATGAACTAACTCCTATTCAGTGATTGTGTGAGATTGATGGTTTTAACTTTAAATTGTTGTTGTAGGTGTTGGATGTTGGATGTGGAATTGGTGGACCATTAAGGGAAATTGCCCAGTTCAGGTAAAATGCTTATTCATGAATGAACCTAATTCGTGTTGTGGGTATTGCTTTTATTTTGTGTCTGTTGGTTTTCTTTTTTGCACTATCGTTTACCAATAATATGAGGTGATATTTTTAAAGCGTTTGCATAGCGCATTCTAGACTCCTAGTTGTATTTCAAATTTGCTAATGCTTGACTAGGCATACTTTAGGGTAAATTTCACTTGCACTCCTGAAGGTTTTGGGAAAAGGCACTTCCCCCTTTTGTTTTGGAATTTACCTCCCTGGTGTTAGCCAGCCCAAAGAAAAACTTTTATCTGTTGTGGTTAATTTAGTGTCCGTGCTAAGCTTTTACAATGAAAATATTAAACTTGAATAAAGTGGATATAACTTATGGTCATCGAACTTTATTTATCAAAAAAAAAAACCTGTGGTCATCTTACTTAAAACCAGTAAAACCATCAATGCACAACTAACTTTACTTTCTTTCTTCACCATCACCACCATTCACGCATTCACACCACCATAGGCCTTGTACTTTTTTGATCTTGAATCTCTCTTTCTCACTCTATACATTAATATAGTAATATGTGTGTAATGATATATGTAATGCCACTCTCGTCATCACCTCCAAACAACAATTGCTGCTGACAATGGATGACCACCATTACCATATAAACACCCTCCCTCATAATCTGCCCCGTGTCAGACCATCTCCTTTTTACCTCTAGGCTTTAACGGAACCAGAAACCCACCATAGTTTTTCTCAATAGAACTGAAACACTTAAATTTTCTCTCTTTGAAACAAAATCCATAAATCACCACCTCCTGCTGCCGCCCATTCGACCATCATCACCATTTGCAACGATCAACCTCAATATTGCCACTATTGCTGTCGCAACTATCTTGCATGGCTTCTTTTCTCAAAATGGTTTAAATCAGTTGCTTGTAGACAGAGAGAATCATAAAAAGGTGCGAATAATTTGTGTTACTTGTTCTTTTTTTCTTTTTATTATTATTTTTTCAATATGCAATTAATTGTATAACCATTGTTGATAAGGGAGGCAAGTGATTGATATTGAAACAGAAGGGGGAAATTGCCTTTTTCCGAGCGGTTTAGTAAAATTTTTCCTTCTAATTTTATGGTTTATGGTAGAATGCCAAACTCTTTCCAGAGTTCTATCAATAATAATAAAAAAATTGTGTGTTTGGTTTGTGTTTTGAGATAAATTTTCAAAAAAAAATTTGGGGAGAGAGTTTAGAAATTTTTTTGGTTTGTTTGGTTGTATATTTTGAAAATAGTTTGGGAGTTTGGGGTGATTTGATATTTTGTTGTAGTTGAGTAGATGTGTGTGAGAAAAAGTTATTGAGAAGGAGAGAGGAGAGAGAAAAGTTGATTGATTGATGTGTAGGAGAGAGAAAGTGATTTTGGAAATTTTTTTCAAAAAATTTGAACCAAACAAAATTTTGAAATTTTTTCTCAAAATTGTATCCTGAGATACAAACCAAACAAGCAATCGTACCTTGTGCTACTGTGATCCTGTTTACAGTAAGGTCTGGGAGAGGTATTTGGTAACTAGCCTTCTCCCTTTTTTTGTTTTTGTTTTTTGTGGAGAGGCTGATAATAATTTGGGGCATTAATGGTTTAATGTTTTTTAGGATCTATTTTCTTGAATCTATGTCTGAATTTTATACAAATAACCAGTGCATGCAAGGATGCTAAACAACTATGACAAATATGGATATTAATGTTGTCTTAAATTTTTTTCATGACTATAATAACATCCCTAGGTGGCCATGCCAGTATTAGTATTTATATCTTATGCTGATTTCAGTCTTTTTTCAGAATGATACTGAATAGTAGTAAATTTATTTTGCTGTTTTCAAGAGTTGGCTCTGAGAATCTGTTTGTTTGCTGATGTCTGGCAGCATGACATCTGTTACAGGTCTGAACAACAATGAATATCAGATAGCAAGAGGACAGGTACATTTTTTTGTCTTACAATGTGATGATAATTACATATAGTAACAAGGTTTTTCAATAAGAACCACTAATTAAGATTTTTTTGAATTGATTTCTTCTAACCTAATGCAGTTAGTTAATGCTTTTCCCTTGTTGATCCTTTTATTGAATATGTTGAAATCATATTCATATTTGAACTTGACTTCATAATCAAAGACAGTGATAGCATTCCATTTCTGTTTGTTAAATTATTTCATGTAATCACTGGAATTCTGAGCATAGCACTTAAGTGCTGCTGATATTCTGCAGGTACTGAACCGCAATACAGGACTGGACAAGACTTGCAATTTTGTGAAGGTAAGCAGTTTAATTTAAAATACAAAGTTCATGGTTTTCTTCTGAGGTTCCATTTTCCATGTTTTGATTATTGTTGCATAATAATGATGCAGGCAGATTTCATGAAAATGCCATTTCCTGACAATAGTTTTGATGCAATATATGCAATTGAGGCTACCTGCCATGCTCCAGATCCGGTAGATACCTAAAATATGTAATTTTGTGTTAAAGTTTTCAGCAGTATGCTTTGGTTAGGATAAAAACATTAGCTTTTGTCTAGTGATTACAAAGTTATTCGTTTGACATTTCATTTATTTATTTATTGATCTTTATTTTGTAATCTTATGGTCTGAAGGTTGGCTGCTATAAAGAGATTTATAGAGTATTGAAGCCTGGTCAGTGTTTTGCTGCGTATGAGTGGTGCATGACCAATGCCTTTGATATCCGTAACAAAGAACACCAAAAAATCAAGGTTTTCTAGAAGCACCACCAAATCTGAATTAATTTGACTGAGTTGATATAGATGCTTGTTTTTCATATTAAAATTTTCATTTACACAGGCAGAAATAGAGCTTGGTAATGGTCTCCCTGATGTCAGGGCTACAGGACAATGCCTTGATGCTCTGAAGCAAGCAGGCTTTGAAGTGAGTAGCAAATTAGGGGTCCACTAAATCTCTCTTATCTTATTGTAAAATCGGACAAAATGACGAGAATGCTGGACACTTGTTTTTATTTTATTTTATTTTTTCTAGGTCATATGGGATAAAGATCTTGCTGCAGACTCACCAATCCCTTGGTACTTGCCTTTGGATAAAAGTCACTTCTCACTGAGTAGCTTCCGTCTAACAGCCGTCGGACGTTTTGTTACCAGAAACATGGTATGAACTGTGAATATGTAACTTTGGCATTAGTGTTATTTTATTTTTGGGTACTACTGTATTTTTGTTTCTATTAGGGTTAGTTTCTATTTAGGTTGTACTAAGAACATTTGTAACATAATAATAACATGCCATTTTGAAAAATTCCCTTTGTTTGGTTGTGTATGGCATCAATTAATATGAACATTTTTTTATGTTCTTTTTGTTACCATGTTATTGCAATTAAGTAATTAGTGTTTTTTTTATTTTTGTCTCTGGAGGTCATGGCTCTAGAATATACTGGACTTGCCCCTAAGGGAAGTCAAAGGGTTCAAGCTTTCTTGGAGAAAGCTGCAGAAGGGCTAGTTGATGGTGCAAGGTGAGAATTATTCCCACTTATATTTACCATCTTTCTTTTCACATTTTCTTTTACCTTATGGGCTAATTGTAATTAATTAGTAATATTTTAGTAAGAGTATTGTGTTCGTGAACATCACACCTTAGAGAACTAGTGCTTAACCCTTTTGATTTTGAATTGAGCATAGATCTCTTGCGCAGTGTAGAAAATCGACCATTTTTGAATTTCTGAGTCTGGATAACTCATTACTTTTCTGACTCGTGTATTATCTCAGGAAGGAGATCTTCACACCAATGTATTTCTTCTTGGCTCGGAAGCCTCATTTGGATAGGCAGTAATGCTGAAGTATGCATTAATCAACAAGCTGCTGTATTAGTGAAGCTTTCTGGTAATTCTGGCCAGTTAGAGGTTTTTGTCCAGATTGCATGTTTTTGGGGTTTTTTTAGGTTTCCAAGTTGATTGTCATAGTTTCCTGTGACAAGTTTGCTATTTAACTAAATTTATTTTCTGTATTCTTTGTTTATCAAAATTCATATATTTATGTAATGTGTGAAATTTTCCTTACCTTCAGCACAGTGGTTTTGTGCTGACTAATTGATTTGTTTAGGCTCTCAAATATTCTTTAGATTTGTTTTTTTATTTGGACAAGTAGTTGGTAACACAATGTCGCAATTTCATAAGTTACATGTTTCCAGTTTCATGATATTTGTATTTCTCGAGCATAGATTGAAAGAGGATAGGATTATGTTAGTTAAACTAGTTATTGGAGGGAATATAGTGAATGTTATTAGTGCATAAGCCACTCAAGTAGGTTTAGATGATCAAACTAAAAGGGATTTTTGGGAACAAATGGATGAGATCTTACAGAAGATACCCGTAGGAGAGAACTTGGTTATAGGTGGAGATTTTAATGGTCATGTAGGCATAGATAAACTAGGCTATGAAAGGGTGCATGGTGGATATGGTTTTGGTGACATAAATGAGGTTGGAGAGAGTATCTTAAATTTTGCGTTGGCTTCTGACCTGGTGGTGGCCAATACTATGTATAAGAAAAGGGAGAAGCATTTGATAACCTTTAAGAGTGGGTCAGTTAAGAGCCAAATAGATTACTTCTTAGTGAGAAAAGTGGACCGCCTAAAATGCAATGATTGTAAGATGATTCTCGAAGAGAGTTTGGCCTCTCAACATAGGATTTTGGTATTAGATTTATGTTTTAGAGGGCAATACCAAGCTAGGAATGATGGTGGGCGTCGTAGGACAAGATGGTGGGACCTAAAAGGGGATAAAATAGAAATATTTAAGAATAGAATGGATAAGGAAGGTACTTGGGATTTGGGAGATGATGCTAACACTATGTGAAACTCGATGACCAATTGTATGAGGAAAATCTCAAGGGAAGTGCTTAGAGAGTCGAAAGGAACGGGATCCAACTCTAGGGAAACTTGGTGGTGGAGGGAAGAGGTTCAAGTAGTAGTTAATGCAAAAAAAGTGTTTTAAAAAGTGGTAGAAGAATAGGACTGAGAAAAACCTTAAGAGCTATTGATTGACTAATAAGGAGGTCAAGAAAGTAGTGAGAGAGGTTAGGTTGAAAGCTTATGATGACCTATACACTAGACTAGATAGTAAAGAGGGAGAGAAAAGGGTATACAAACTTGCTAGGATATGGAAGAGGAAAACACGAGATTTTAATCAAGTTAAATGCATCAAGAGTGAGGATTCTAAGGTATTGGTGAAGGATGAAGAGATTAAGGAAAGATAGAAGAATTATTTTGAGAAACTATTAAATGAGGGAACATGGAGGTATGGCAATAGGGGAAGAAATGGCCAGTAATACGATAAACTAAGATTATAGGTTCTATCGTAGAATTAAGAACTTTGAAGTGGAGATTGCATTTAAGAAAATGAAATCAAATAAGGTTTTAGGACTCGACGATATCCCTATTGAAGCTTGGAAGTGTTTGGGTAAAAAAAAAGGTTGCTTGGTTGACTAAGTTACTTAGCAAAATTTTGTTGATTAGGAATATGCCAGATGAGTGGAGGAAGAGTATTTTAGTGCCAATATATAAGAATAAAGGAGATGTCCAGAATTGTAACTACTATAGAGGAATCAAGCTAATGTGTCATCTAATGAAAGTGCGGGAGAGGGTGATGGAATGTCGATTGCGAGATATAACATAGGTGTCAGAGAATCAATTTGGGTTTATGCTTGGCAGGTCAACAATGGAAGCGATATATCTTTTGAGGAGAGTAATAGAAAAGTATAGAGAAAAGAAAAGAGACATTCATATGGTGTTTATCAACCTTGAGAAAACATATGATAGAGTGCCCCGGGATATAATATAGGGGTGACAAAATGTTACATTGATGTGATTAGGGACATGTATGAAGGGTAGTGACCACTATTAGATTGTCAACTAAAGAGACAAATGAATTTCCTATCACTGAAGGGTTACACCAAGGATCTACCTTAAGTCCTTATATTTTTGCTTTAGTTATGGATAAGTTGACGAGAAATATTCAGGATGACGTGCCATGGTGTGTGCTTTTTGCAGACGATATCGTGCTAGTGGATGAAACTAGAGAAGGAGTCAACACGAAATTGGAGATTTGGAGAAAAATTCTTGAATCTAATGCTATGTTTGGTTGGGGGATTTGAGGAGAGATTTGGAAAGGAAAAGGGAAAAGGTGTGTGAAACTAGGCGAAATATAGGTATGTTTTATTCACATTTCACCTTACTTTTCCATTCCAAATCCCTTCCCAAATTCCCCAGCCAAACACAACATAAAGGATTTCGGATAAGCAGAACTAAGACAGAGTACATGGAGTGTAAATTTAGAAACAATAGCAATGAAAGCAGAGGAGAAGTGAAGATTGAGAACTAAAAAGTGCCTAAGATTGAACATTTTCGTTATTTAGGGTCGATTATCACAACAGTGGGGGAGATTGATGAGGATGTAGCCCATAGGATTAAGGCGGGATGGTGTAAGTGGAGAAGTGCGTCTGGGGTATCGTGCGATAAACGAATATCCACGTGCGATAAACGAATATCCACTAGACTAAAAGGGAAATTCTATAGAACGGCTATTAAACCAATGATGTTATATGGTGTGGAGTGTTGGGCAACCAAGAAACAATGTGTAGATAAGATGAGTGTGACTGAGATGAGCATACTAAGGTGGATGTATGGCAAGACTAAACAAGACATAATTAGGAATGAGTGTATTCGGGAATGGGTAGGAGTAGCATCGATAGAAGATAAGTTGAGAGAGAATCGATTGAGATGATTTGGTCAAATTCAACGGAGACCAACAGAGGCAGTAGTGATGAGATGTGATGCTGTAACAGTAGATGAAAGTGTTAGGGGACGGGGTAAGCCTAGATGAACATTGGCTAGCATTGTAAATAGAGATATGGATCTACTTAATTTGACTAAAGAAATAGCATCTGATAAGGCCGCGTGGAGAAGAAGGATTCATGTAGCCGACCTTAAGGCTTTGTTTGGTTTGATTTGGTTTGGTTTAGATTGAAAGAGTAGATATTGGAAAGGCATTTAAGATTAATAAAGTCTAGTCCGACTTAATATTTGAATAATTAACTCTGAATGTGAAGGCATCTTGCGTTAAAAATTTCTTATGGGTATATTTTGAATTAGTCACTCCAATTTTACTTTAATTTTCAATGTCATATTGGAACTTTTTTTTTTTTAATTATATAAATCTTCTTTCTTTCTTTTTGGTTTTAACGTAGAGTTTAAAATTTTAAGGTTTTCTATTTTATGTCCAAATTTAAAAATTTAGTCAATGTAGCTTAGTTTATTAATAAATATGAGAAAAACTATTGTGTGCCTTTTAATTTATCTAATTTTAAGATTAAATTAAGAGAATAATAGTTTAAATATGAAAAAAGAACATGGAGAGTGAAAATTAATATTAGTTTTAAATGGATAAAATGATAATTTATTCAAAATGGGCACCTATCTCTGATTTCTTTTTCCTTTTTTTTTTACTCATTTGTTAATCTTTTTTTTCTTTTTTTTATAGTTTAAATTCTAAAATTAGGCCAATTAAGTAGCACATAATAATAACATTATAGTCTTTTTCACATCTAATAATGCATTGGACTATATTGACTTAATTATAAAAATTGAAAGGCTTAAATAGAAAATTAACAGCTTGTATTTCACAATAAAAAGTTTAAAGGTTGGATTGACAACTAAATCAAAGTTGGAAACTTGGAGAGACTAATGATATCTTATCAAAAAGCAATAAACAGAGCAAAATGATTCTACCTACAACCTTAGGAGTGTAAATGGTGAAACATTGTTTTAAAAACTTGCAAAAATATAAAAAGATGGAATTGAATAAAGTTGAGCCAAATTAGAAGATATTGGCAAGCTTCAAAACTACTATATAAACTTTGTTAGTTATGTTTTGGACCAATTTTAGATGAGCCTCTCACCAAGCAAACCCTTGTAGTGCATGCCAAGTTCAGTAGTTAAAGACCCCTTTTGTCTTGAGCATTGCTGGTAGTTTTTCAAGTTGAGTTCAAGCCAAGTTTGGCATATTTTATTTTATTTTATTTATTTATTTATTTTTATTTATGTAAAAGTAGGATTAAGCATATCAGATATCCTCCAACCCAAACAACATTGTATGAGGGTTCTAATCACCAAGGTAACCTTTTCAGCTTGAGTTCCATATTTAGGAGAGCTACAATCTTCATTCTTGGCCTTAATATTTAATATTTACATATTCTTCGAAAAGAATTGCATACATACAGTTACCAAAACACACGAGGAAGAACAAAGCAATGCACATTGACGACAGTTACATCAGACAAGAACATGAACAATGCTAACCTAACCGGCTTTAGATACCATAAAGGTAAACCAGATACAAATGGCTCCAACAAAACAAACACAACCCAACAATGCTAAATTTGTCATGACATTTTTACTAGAACCAGAGGCAATTTCAGGATTTTTTGTCGATGGGTCACCATACAGCTACAAATTCTTAAGTTAAAAAGTCAAAAAATCAAAAAGTTATACGGAAAGTCAAAAAAACATTATTTTAGTCAAAAAAGGGATATTGAAACTCAAAAAAGTTATTCCAAAAATCAATACATTATTTTAGTAAAAAAAATCAAAAAGATACTTAAAAAAAGTCAAAAAACTAAAAAGTTATACGGAAAGTCAAAAAAACATTATTTTAGTCAAAAAAGGTATATTGAAACTCAAAAAAGTTATTCCAAAAATCAATACATTATTTTAGTAAAAAAAATCAAAAAGATACTTAAAAAAAGTCAAAAAACTAAAAAGTTATACCGAAAAATCAAATATTCATTTCCTTCCTACTTTTTGCATATTTTTTTTATAAAAAAATCAAAAAGTTATCCTAAATATACCAGTTTTTTTTTTTAATCTCATATTTTATTACAAAAAAAAAATTATATAATTTATTTTAAGACTTAAATATATGATTTTTTTATATTGTCCATGATACACTAATTACACACAATGCTTTCTTTTCGATTTTACTTGAAATTAATTGTAAAATTTTATATGAAATACTTTTATAATAATTTATTTAAGTTTTTGTACTTAATATTAATTCAAAAAATAT